TCATATTGAACCCTCTCCTCTCTCAGACCTGTCTCATATTGAAACCTCTCTTCTCTGGTCGCTTTTGTGCCCTTACTCTTTGTCCAGCTGTTTGACCACATCTGTGCGCCGAACGCCATCCAGCCGGTAGAGCTGCTCAGCCAGTCTGCGTGCCTCCTCTCTGTTCACGGTGCTCCCGTTGACCTGGGGGGCGCCGAGGTCAGTGGTCTCCCCCTCAGCGCTCGGCGCCTGTGTCTCACTGCGGAAACAATCACACAGCAGAGCTCAGCAAGCCAAGGGCCACAGTCAGAGTCAGGCTCCCGGTCAAAGTGCATGAACACCTGCATTATACTGAGGTGATACGAGATTCTGGATATCTGGAGTCATTCTGTGATACACTGGATGTACACAGTGTTTTCAGTGCCTTTCTAGTTGTCTTTGGCAGAAAATAACATCTAGGAGAAAAGAAGACTGTTTTTGTTTTCAAAGCCTGTGAACGTGCAGCAAAATCTGTAATTTCCCCAAAATACTCTATTTTCAGCTTTTATTTCTTAAGAGGCTCGCTGAACAAACTGCAGCAATCTGCTCACCTTCCCAGTGTGTCCTGCTGCTCTTCCTCACAGCTCAAGCTGCCAGGTGTCTCCTCTGCTTCCAGGGGCTCAGAACCCGTGCTCCCAGGACACCCCGTCGGGTCAAAGAGAGCAACCGGACCTCCGCCCTCTCCTTCACTGTCGGGGGATGAGCTCCCGTTTCTGTGCTCCCCCACACTGCTCTGCGTCTGCTCAACAGTCAGACCCTCGGGGAGCTCCGTTTCCCCCCTGGTGTCCGAGCCTTCCGGGACTCCTAGAGACCCTTCAGCACCCATGGGCTCTGCAGTCTCAGCTGTGCCGGCAGGTCCCGCAGAGCTAGCGGTCTCTAAGACATCTGCAGGTCCTGTGGTCCTCTGAGTCTCGGGATCTTCTGCGGTGTCTGTGGCCCCCTCGCGAGGCTCCGGTTCGATGGTCTCGCCTGCTTCGCCAAGCGGCCGCTCAGTGGGAGGGCACAAAGGCTCGGTCTCTCCTGATTGGATGAGAACAGCACTTGTGGTTAGCCCAGGAACCAACAAGAACAAAGAAACGTGTGTGGCAGAACACCTAAATGTGCCCAAAAGCCCATGGGAAGAGTGCTGGCCTTCAGGTCTTGGGCCCAGTTTTCTAATATTATATGAAAAGTGTTATTTTTATTATTTCTGCATTAATCACTTAAAACTTATTTTTCCATTTTCTATATGATTCAATAAAGAAGGTGGATGCACCCTTACACACAGGGCTGTGGGATGATGGAAAAAGCTACCCAGCCATGTTTTTGAAGCCGATAACCTAAGCTCTACCATGAAATGGCTGAATGAGATCGTTGGGTCTATTAACTCCCAAATACCAAATGGGACAGACGCGCCTCCTGGATTTCCGCGTCTCTTCAATGTGCAAGTCTGAAGGGCACTTTACAAAGTTAACACTGCATGTTACCTGGGATTTCTTCAGGACAGTGATGTTCCTCTCCGTCCTCCTCTGAAAGACATTCCTGCCAAACAAACCAACACCATTTCAGGTATCAATTCATCAGAAACAACTCGTCTGAAAGCTTGGTGAGCTCTAGGATCCACACGTCACTAGTCTGACCTGGAGACATAGCCCACTGTGACTGGGATTCCCCAAGCAACACTGCAGAATTAGTCAGAATTACTCAACTAATGCTTTCCCAGCTTTTTGGAAAAAAGCAATTCCTTCGCCTTGCTGGACACCTGCATGCTTGCAATGACGACAGGGAGACACATGCGATGATGGCTCGCCTGGCGGGCACCATAGAGTCCACAGCATGTTAAATGACAATTGTCTCTCCAGATGGGCACACTGGGCATCTCTTTCTCTCCCGAGCCCCACAGACGTAATTGCCAAGGAATTTCAAAGCAGCTGGCAGCTCCAGATTGGGTGAGTTTACAATACAACAACCAGTGAGAGATAACACTGCTGATCAGAAACACCCAGATGCAGCTGAGAGACTGTGCCCCCATTCACCTCAAGTCCGCACTACGGATGTCATGCCACAGAAAATTTCCCTTGCTGTGTTTCAGAGCTCTAGGGCCTTTTTAAATGTGCGACATCTAAAAGTTGAAATGATTGGCTTGTTGCATCACTGTAATTTAAACATTTGGGGACAGATATTTAAAATAATCCCATACCACAGGGGATGTTTTGTCAGATTCCATAACTCTAACATGCCATGACTACAGGTGACCACTTAAGACGGAAAAAAGGTGGAAAGGAGAGCAGGAAAGGGGGGTGGGATTATTGTAGAAAATGATGGAAAGGAGGGGCAGGATTATACTAGAAAAAGGTGCATTGGGGAAGCCCGTCTGGGCCAAAACCAGAGGACTGAGCCCAGCGTGGGCCAACAGAGAAACAGAGTGTGAGCAGAGCAAGGTAAAGGTCAGAGTCTCGTCCTGGAGGAGCACAGGTTAGTTGATGTTATCCAGCAAAGTCCCGACTCAAGAGCTAGACGGATAGAAACCTCCTGTAAAATGAGAAGCTTCACTTCAAGATGGCGTTCAGTTCTGGCGCATTATAAGAATTGGTGCCTTCGCCCCTTACCTAGTCTGTAACTTCAGGCCTCTGAGCAGACGCCTCCATTAATAGAACTCCATATCTGATTCATCAGCATGTCACGCTTTGGTAACTACTGATTTATACTGTAACTACAAAACAGAAGGGTGTTTTTACCACTGCCTGCAGCAGCACAGCGCTGTCTTGTGGAATATGAGGATGTGTCTTTCAAAGCAGAGAGAGGTGGCGAGTACTGCAGTGGAGTTCAAGAACGCAAACTGAAACTCTTTTGCAGAGTACCGCAGCCCTGGTGCAGGCATTACCAACGCCTTAGACGTCTGGGGGAGATTAGAATGTTATTACAACATCTCTACAGGAGAATCAGTAGGAGAGGAAGGTCATTTCACTGCAGTTTTCTAAATCAGGTAAGTGATAAAACAGGCAAGTAAATAAACAGCTTGGCATTTGCTGTATGAAAGACACGCTCCAGGCGGCTTAAGAGGGTGTGGATTGACCCTGAAAAGAGGGACCAGCTTTTCATCAGCATGGGGGCGATTTATCCTGCAGGTTTTAAAATGGACATGTGAAGCACAAGCTGCAACCTGTGCCACAGCTGCACAAGACAAACCACTGCAAAACAGAAGGATATCAAAACAACCCACCCATTCCTCTTCTTCCTAACTGCTTCATCCAGTTCAGGGTCGTTGGGGGAGCCGGAGCCTATCCTGGCAAGCAACAGGTGCAAGGCAGGACACACCCTGGAGCAGTCGCCAGGCCAGGTCACACACAGACACACACTTCCACCAGGGATCATTTTCTCAGAAGCCAATTAACCTACCAGTATGCTTACGGACTGCAAACCGCAGCACAGAGGAAACCCAAGCAAACATGGAGAGAACAGACGATCTCCATGCGGGTTGCACCCCAGGTCCGGAATTGAACCCAGAACAACACTGCAGAAGCTTTTAATCATACCAGACCCAAGAGCAACAGAAAGGCTGCAGTGGTGGTGAAATGAGAAAGACAAGCAAGATACTGGCTAAACCACATGCCCTAACACGTCACGGCACAGATCAGCTTTTTCAAGCCTTCCTCGACTAGTTTGTCTCAGTGTCTGAGTTAATTTTTAAACATGAAAAAAGCACCTCACAGTTTGGCCACAGATCTGATCAGCTGATTAAATTCTCTCTTTTTTTTATGGATCCTCTCAAGTGGCTCCACGGGTAAAAAATGCTCTCCTGAGTGCAGGCTGAGCTCCACCATCATGGGTTCAAGCTTGGGTGATGTCACCAGCACCATATGACCAGCAGTCCCCAAGACGGTAGGCTGGGGTAAGTCTGCCAGGGCTCTAACACATCTCAGCACAGGCAAAGCGACCCCCTGTGAGCTCCTGGGCTCTTGAGGGGGTCCTATCATCTCTTCCAATCAGCACCGAACCTCCGGGAAAGGGCAGGGTTGTCTGTAAGGTGTTAAAAGGAATGGGCCCTCCAGGGTGGGCGTGTCCAAAGATTCTGCTCAGATGTGAAAACTGTGTCCAAACTGAGTAGTAATTAAAATAATAATTGACGATTCTCTATGAATTTTTTAGCGTCATATATATACTATTCCCCCAGCTTCAACTCCAATGTCTGATTCTATATCGTGTCTGATCATGCACTAAAATGTACAGTTCTTCTGTTTCCTATGGTGGCTAAATCACTGTACCATAACAGTATTCCTATCATAATAAGTGCATGACAGACTTGCTACAAGAAAAGCAATATATGTACAATAACTGCTTGCTCCCAGTTAACTTAGTTACCTTGTTAAGCTCGTTTCCTTGGTTCAGGCTTCTCTGTCCATCGAGGAGGCCCTGGAGATGCTGTTCAGGCTCTGCATCTGGAGAATCCCCAGCCTGGCTCATCTCCAGGTTCCCGTCACAAGAGGCCACTTCCGGAACGGATTCGGAATCCCTGTCTTCCCCAAGACAGCCGGAGTTTCCCGAGGTATCCCCCCCTCCATGCCCGGAGCTCTGGAGGTCCTTCACCTGTCCCGAAGGACACCCACCTTGGGAGAGGGGGCTATCTGTCCATTCCAACTCTGGGTCATTCCCCAGGATGAGGCTGGCGGCCCCACTCGAGCTGTCCAAGTCATCGTTGGAGCTGTACTCCATGATGGGCTCCTCCAAGCCGGCCTTTGTCCCAGGACCGTCCCACTCAGCGCACGAGTCCGGGGCTTGCGATTCCAACTGCTCAGATGAGGAAGAGGAGGAAGACTGACCCAACCCTGTCTCAGCGTCTCCGAGTCCCTGCAGTTCTGCAGCCTCCCCTTCCTCCCAAGGGCCCTGTATTCCCCTGCTACATTCCGGGCTCCCTGCCGGAACGTCCTCCACATCCGATTCTCCGGCGACCTCGTCAACTCCCAGGTCCAGCAGGTCCACCCCCTCCTCCTCTCCCTCTCCTCCTCTCAGCTTGGACTCCAGGTCCCCATCCAGGGCCAGAAGGTCCAGGGAGGGAGTGAACAGGCTCCTGCAGGAATCCTCTGGCTGCTCGCAGTCCATACAGGCTGAGGACAGGTCCAAAACATACTCGTGCTCCAGATCCATTTCGAGGTCAGAAAGATGATTAGACCGAGTATGATATAATATATTTCACAGACGTATTGGTACGTTAAAGAAGCAGGGACATCCCGAATTAAGTTTTAGCTCCTTTTCTTGATCACAAACCTTTCCATGTCCAGTATATGCCACAAACAATTCCCATTTTTTTTTTCAAAGAGTTGCAAAGCTTTTTTTTTCTAATCTGTCCTATGGGTACTTGCTTTCAGCATTTCTGTTGACTCTAAAAGAAAAGCACACAGGTGTGGTTAATGTCTTCACACATCTCATAGATCTGCTTGCATACGAAACGTATCACTGCAAGAGGCAGGTCTCTTCTATCTACAACACCAACCATATACCAGAGAAAAACATCTTTCAAACCACACAGCTTTTTAGGACTTCATTTCATACATTTCCCCAGAAACCTCAACACCAAAAGTATGGTATGAATCATAAATATACAAACTCAATACCTAAAATGGAGGCAACAAAGATAATTGTGGATTGCTGTCGACTAATAAAGCTACAGTACTTCCGCCTTCTAAATGAATGATGTCAGGAGTCTCAATTCATAATAAGCCTGTTTATGAATAAATCATTTGAACAACACAAATGAATGATTTCTCGTACAATTACAATGGGAGTAAGGCCCAGGTGATGGAATATGTCTGAGTTATTTAAGCAGAATTTGAAAAGACATATTTGATGGTATAGGAACAAGTAATAGGTTTGTTCCATGCTGGGAAGAGAAGAAAGAAAACAACGTTTTCGGCTGTGAGGCCTTCTTCGGGTGTAAGAAAGATAGGGCAGTCAGGGGCACACTTGAGTGTATACGCATGCCTATTGGTTACACTTGCACTTTAGAAGATGAATAATATGCCAGAGCAGCTATGCTACTTTGCATGGCTGTCCTTAACAGTCCACCGCCAGGGAACAATTGCTAATTCTGAATTTAGAAGTCAGACAAAGATAAAGAAAAAACGCAAAGGGAGGTGCGGTCACATTTCAGACGGAGCCCTACAGCGTCTGCGAGGAGCCGCAGCTCAGAACAGGATTAGCGAAGGGAGGATGTGGTCCAAGGTCAGGCGCTACAGCGTTTCGAGAAAGACGGTGCTCCGTCCCCGCGAAACGACTCCGTTTGAGTCCTGGGATGTCCACCTGGTGAGCGGGGCCCGCCGCTTTTCGAACGGTGGGAGGCTCCGGCTCCACCTGCGCGCGCTCGGGGGGCCCGGTCGCGGCGGGCCGAGCGGCGGCAGACCGCCGGCGCATCTCCTGCCACGCAACCCACACCCTCTTCCTCATCCTCCGGCCCCGGCGCAGAGACAGACGCCTCCCTGGCTGCGCTCCAGTAAAAGCCCGAACGAAGTACTCACCAAGTGCTCCGCTGCGCCCGCCTATCCCGAAAACCTCCGGGGGTCTTTGGCCCGTCTCCTTCTCCCGCTCTTGTCCTCTTTATCCGCCTCTCTTTCTGCCCCCAGAGCTCCCCCCCGTGAACGCAGTTTGCAAACGAGGTTCTCTCAAACCTCACTGCAGCGCATTCAGACTTCCTGCCCGCAGACGATCAGCGAGCGAGAGAGAGAGAGAAACTAAGAGGAGGAGAACAAAGATAGATGAAGAGATTAACACAGTCACAGGAAGTTCGGATGTTAGTGCAATGAGGACATTTTTTATTCGCAACAGGTATTTACAGAACCCAGCGTGTGCTTCATGTGTTCCTGTTTCCCCAGTTACAACCGTGCTTAATTCTCAGTTCTGGTTAATTAAAATGATGGAGTGACTAAACCAGATTAACTGGTTACACTTTGGAATTACTGGTGCCCTGAGCAGCATCACAGCAATGCATAAAAGAAGGCCTTAATGTCTTCACCATCTGGTTTCATTGTGAACTGCTTGCCTTCAGAGCGATTATCTGTACAACATATTAAAAAAAGTTGTTTTTTTTTTTTTCAGAGCCCACATACATCTAGCAATAAGGTACGACATCCATAACCCGTGATTGAAATGTCCCCTCCCTCCACTGTCATGGTCTGGTTATTCCTTCTTGGAATCTCACCACCGAACTCCAAGGGATGAGAGGGAAGAGAATCTTTGGGAAAGGCTCGTCCAAGTGGATGGTGACGTAGAAACTGGACGGTGCTACAGCCCAGCAGATCTTCCACCCTCTCCCTCTACTCCTCACAGTCTGCTCTAACACGTGTCTGTACAAACTGTGATTCTTAGAAAACTGTTTAGAACAAAAGAGTCAAACACGTAGGCCTAGTTTAGGACAGATATGCAACAGACCGTTACATATACAACAGTTTGAGAATAAATGAGATGACTTGCGCTATCTATTTAAAATGTCATTTTAAGATACAGTACAAAATAAAAATAGACTGGTCATTTGTAGACGTTCCGTCAAGCACCAACAATGCTATGTTACTGTTTTATTACGATTGTTATTACTTTGACTGCCATTGATACAATTTGCAGCTTTGGTGAAAGCTCCACGGATAATCTTTGAATGAAACGGTAAACGGAGAGCAGAGAGTTTGGTCAGCAGCGCTTCTAATGAAGCAACCCATTACTGAAATGTTCTTTCCTGCAGAGATCACAGCTGTGACCTCGGCTGTCACAAACCCAACATCCGCCCAGTGACGTCAACCCCAAGCAATGCTGTCACTTCCTCTCTGCAAACAGGGGCTTCCTGTTTCATGCCGGGGCCTGTGGCTGAATCCACAGTAACTGGGACAGGTTACCCACAAACTGATGGGGCCCATGATAGGCCAAACCAAACCTGACACAGACACACCCGACTTCCCAAAGAGGAAGGAGCAAGTCGTCATCGATCACCATGACGCTGGAACATTTTATCTATATTTGTTCATCAGATTTTTTGCACATTTTAATTGCTATTTGATACCTCCCACTTCTGTTACTTTATCATAACATTTATTATACTGATTAATATAATCATTCAGGCTCCTTAATGATCTGACAGCCGCTACCTAGTGGCATTACGCACAGAAAAACACCTGTGTAAAACCCCCTTTTTTCTTAATATGGCAGGTCATCCGGTCTGTGCGTGGAAGAAAAACTGTGTGTGACAACAGATTTGAGATGAATATTGTGTTGATAACAGGAAACATGAAGTGAATCAATTGTAACTCTTTATCAGTTACCTACATGTGTTTGGTCAGGGAGAACATATGAGTTTAAGTGGAACATGTAACCTTTGCAAATGCTCCACGTTCCTTTAGTGTTTTTTGTTTATTTCAATCTGAATGACTTTTATCCATTCTCACACAGAGAATTTCAGGAATCTAACAAAAGAGCAGTGGAATGAAACACATGGTGTTATTAAAGGATGCCGTGATCATTCATGAATCTTGTATTTACAGTAAGCAAATAAAGGAGATGGAGAACCAGATATTGTGTGTAATGATGACCCACAGAACCAGTTGTGCAGCAGGGAGTTAACTAAAGCAACCTGAGTTGTTATTTGCTCAAGGAACAAGACTGTCCCACCCAGGACTTGAACCCATAACCTTCCAGCTCAGAGTCCTAATCACTATACCACACTGCTGCCCATAAGTCATTTGTAACACTGAAATTTATGTTACGGTCCTTTGTAAAGTTCCTCATTGTTGCTATTGTTTTACTATCACATGTGAGATAAAATGCCTCGATCTGGATACTTTGGTTAGTTCTGTTCCCCTCATAATTTGCTATTCAAACAAAAGAACATCTGTCATCTTGCATGTTTTAGTATCATTGAAAGCATTATGCATTGAATTAATGTAGATGGACAACTTGATATGCACATATATCCTAAATTTGCTGTAATGCCTCTGGTCTATCCCCTGAGAGAGATGCCTGCATGACTAGAGCGCAGTACTTTTTTTTCACAAACACAGACAGGATTAACAGTGAGTGATGAAATGTCTGTATTCAGCAACCCACCTAGTACCTGCAGATTAACACTGGTACAATGGTCAAAAGTGGCTGGTTGTCTTGAAGTCTGTGTCAGATGAATGTGTCAACTGACACAGTGAAGAAAGACTACAGGGGTGCAGAAATGGGGGTTTAGCACAGTCCAGGCCTCACAGCTGCATCCTGTGAACACTCACATCTACTGCAGCTTTAAATGTCAAATAAGATTCAATTTCTAGCAGAGTAGTCATCAATCACTTTCTGGTACACAGCGAAGGGAGGACTGACCACATAACTTCAAAGTGATAAAAGCTTTCGTCTTGTTGACCAGTCCATAAATCCGGAACTACGACAAGGAGAGGGAAACTTTGCAATTGAGATTATAACATTTTAAAGCTGTGCAGCAGGTTACGAAAGCTGCTAAGTATTTCTTTCTATTGGCATGCATGCTATGAGCACGCATGCTTTGCTGTGGTCAGGGATTCGGTGGGAGTTACAGACATGTCAGACAGATGTTAAGACATACTTAATCACCCTTAATTATACATCATTACAGTTCCCAGGCAGCTTCATTCCTGATTCAACACTAACACGTCTTGTGCTGTGCTTATTTTTTTACAGGACAAAGTTACAAAGGGCCCCTTGGGTCTGAGACAGCCCATCTACAGCAGCTGCACTGAGTGAACTGAGGAGCAGGAAGCTGAAATCAGCGATGACCCCTGAGCCATAGCGTCACCTGCTGACCAGGCAGAGACTGGCTAAACTAAGCCGTCCCACTTCAAGACCTCAGACCAAAAAAATGAAACTCCCTCCTTTTAGAATAATGAGTTTTTAAAATGATGAATATTCTTATTAACCTGAACAAAACTTTTTTTTCTGTCATGTTGTTTTTTTAATTATTCTTTTCATGTAACGGCATAGATACCGTTTGGGTATATGTAATTATTGTAAAGTTTAGGTGGGCAGCTGCGTCAGCATGCGCAGGCTGCAAAGGAACAAGTAATATGTTTATTCCCAGCTGAAAAGAGGAGCAAGGAAACATAACGTTTCGGCTGTGGAGCCTTCATCAGGTGTAAGAGAAACTCAAGTTCATTGGGCATGAGATCAGGCTGTGTGGATGGTGAGATTCATCTGAAGACACCAGTCTTTCTCAAACACATGGAGCCATTCACTGGCTGTCTTGCTTGGGATGGAAGGTGACAGGTCAGCCCAATGGGAGACCTGCACCCTCTCGGGCAGGTGACAGGTCAGTCTAGTGGGGGATCTGCATCCTCTGACAGGTCAGCCCAATG